CACATGAGATGCAGTCTCTACCAATACTAAGGCATCTTGAAAAATCTAGCAACCATTTACTTCCATGCTTAGGAGAAATACAGTTCAAAAATTGCTACAAGTGGGGAAATTTCCATTGCATCTCATGTGTTATCTGGTTCATAAGGAGCAAAAATATAAAAATGCATGTTTCAGTGGCACACCTATGTTTTACAGTTCTAGAATTGGATGTGATTTGTTACAGAAAACAAAAACTACCGCAGCACCATGTCAATTGTTTGAATTGTTGACCTTTTATCAAATAAATATTGAGAAAACATTTTGAACCTCATGATTGGAAAACCAAAGATAAAATACTGGCAAAAGATAGGTGTGACACTTACAGAAACATGTTTTAGCAAAAAATAAACATGTGTGTTTGTTAAGAGAACCTTAAAAATCACATGTTTATTGCATTAAAATAATGTCTGTATGTAATACATGATACTGTTTCATGACAGTCTTTCAGTATCATCTGAGATAATGAGATTTCAACAGGCACATGGATTTAGAAATAATATATATTTCTAAAATGTTAGCTAAACTACATTAGGTAAGCTTTAAAATAATATATAATTGATGGGCTGCAGCATATGTTTGTGAGCTAATGAGAATGATAATTTGTGTCTGCTTTTAATTGGGGGCAGGGAGGAAACAATGCTGTTCTATTTTGTGGTTACTTTCTAAGGACTAAGCAAGCATTCCCAGTTATATATAACTGCATAGCAGAAAAGGTGTTAGCATTCATTGTTTTGCTACTTACATTATTTAATGAACTTACAAACTAAAGGAAAAATAATTTAGAATAAAAGAAAAGCTTCATGGGAAGCAAAAAATAGACTGCTGTGCCTTCTGACAATCCCCCTAATCAAATTATGCTAATTTTTTGAAATAACTGTTTAAAAAATGCTGCTAAGTAAACAAATTAAAAGGGCATAATCTAACTAGTATAGTACTTTATAATCTGAAGCTTGCAGAAAGAGTATAACAACAATCAGAAGGTAGTCTAACTGGACACCAAATAAGTAAGTTTAGCATTATGATCTTAAACACACCTTGGCTCCTATTGAAATCAGAAAAGCTAAAGATACTCAATAATAAATAAATACTTTTGTACTTTAGTATAAAATGATTTGCGAGTATGAAGTTTCATTCTCCAAGTTTGGGGGTTTGTTTCCGAAAATTTCATTACCAGCTAGGTAACTTCTTTAGGATTCCCTAAACTCCACTGAAGATGTTACTTAGCCTGGTAGTGAAACATTTGGAAACCAACCCACAAACTTGGAGAATGAACCTTCACCCTCATTCTATACCCAAGCTACAGATATTCGCCACTCTTGCAAAAATGATTTGTGTTAGAGAATTAAGTTATAAAAGGTGTATTTACATTACACCAAACTACACATCCATTAATCTTTGTGTGATGAAAGAGCAACTATTTGAAAAATCACTTATCATTGTGACTATGGTTAATTTTCTACATACTGGAGAAATTAACTTCTCAACAATGGTTATTGAGAAGAGTGTTGAATAATATCTTAATATTTTTAAAGTTCCTCTTTTATTAGACTCAACAATTTGATTATTCAGAAGCAAATATTCCCAAATGATTTCTTCCAAGATAGCACTGGGAAAGTTACAGATAGCTCTAGGATATAGATAGCATATTATGGTGCTGCAATCTATAAATGTACAAGTATATTCAAGTGTTCTTTTTTTTCCTCCAAAATACAAAGCAGCTTTCCCCAGTCTGGTGCCCTTAAGCTTAGTTAGTATAACAGTACTCAGAATTCTCAGTTTGTCATTTCCTGGGAATTCTGGGGCCTACACAATTGGTGTGCACCAAATTCAGGGGAACTGCTCTGCAGGCTGGACCCAGCCCCAAAGCTATAATCTATGTAGCTGGAGAGTATGTTGGACTAACATATTTAAATTCTAAAATGTTTATTGTGCCTTGTACAAAAGTTCACCTAAATTGGTTTCTAGTTAACTATTATCCAGTTGTAATTAATAAAATAAAACCAATAAATCATCTAAATGCAACATATCCATAAATTACACTAGTAGCAATGTTAACTGTAATAAACAGAAATGTAGGGATAAAAGATGCTAGCGTCTATTTATTACATTAGATTAGTAGCTTAAAATTGCAGCTCAAAGGAGGGAGGGTTGTTTAATTGATCACTTGTGCTGTACCTTTCTACTTGCTTTCTTATTAGTTTTCATTCTGATTTTCACTAAATTATTCACTTTATTTAGCAACAATAATTAAATCATATTGAGCTTTAGTTTTCATATATATTGTGCACTCAGTGCCAATTTTTGACTCAAGGTTGTCCTCTTCAATATGGAACTGTTGTGTCCAGAGACTACAAATCCCATCATGCAGTAACCCACCCTCGTCCAGTCTGTTTCCTAAAAGTGTAATGAATTTTATTATTGAAATATCTCAGTAGTAAAAACTATGTTTTGGCTTGTTTCCCATAATTCTTCTTCTCATATATTCTCTTAGGACAAGAGAACATAAAGTTCAGGTCAAAAGCTTTTCTAGGTCAATCCTTTTTTCCACAATGAAACTGGTGCCAAATAAAAGTCTCATAGCAAAATATGAGGGCAATATCATGCTTTTATTCATATTCTTTAAAAAGAAATATCCAGAGGCATATGAAGTCTGTGCTGATATAAAGCCATTCTGATCAATAAACACTCATGTCCTATCTTGTTCCTTTTACATATGTGTTTACCAACACAGCATTTTATATACTTCCTCAAACTCTCTCCTTTATTTTCCTTTCCACTAATGTTGTCAACAATAATTTTAGTGGATTTACAAGACACTCTCTACCCCTTGCTTGTTTCCAATAAGAAAAAAGGATAAATGCTTTCTATACATGGAAGGAGCCTTTCATTTTGTGGACAGTAAAATCTATAAGACACT